AAATTGAGAATTCACCTTTGTCTCTGTAACCGAAGCTCCACAAACCTCAAATACGTTTGACTTGATACAGTTGAACATTTCAAGAATTTCTCAAATATGTCTGCCATATCAACTGGCGTGTTCATGAGTTATCTCATATTTTTGACTAAATCCAGTGGTAAAACAGTATCACTCTAATCGATAAGAATAATCTTCATGCTTATCAATTCAGAATAGCATTCAACTTCTTGACTCTACTCGTGGGCCCATCGGAAAATAGTGACTATTTCTATTCGCTTCATAAAATTCAAAGAACTGTAAATATAATCGATCCCTTAGAAAATAATAAATATTTATTCAGATGACGCGTTATTTCTAAATTAGCTCTTGAAATTTATCAGATCTACGGTTAAGCGAATGTATGAGGGCTTTGTGCACAACCGCATCCATTTAGAATGCGCTTGTGGTTTTTTTCTCAACTTGAAATTGACCTGCGTATTCCTTATTGATCATCTAGGTAGTCTACAGATTGAATAGAAGTATAACGCAGCGAATTTTACTATCTTGATTATCAACTTGACAAAGTTCTTTTCACTTGCATAAAACCTGCAAATGCTTATTCTTTTATATGTTACACAATCTTGACATTAATCAAATTCATCTGCCGGAAAATAGTCCAGTGAACTATGGCCTGGTAATACACGGCATTCATTTCCTTTTTCAATCAATGTCAACTTAGTTTTTGAAAACAACATGTAAATGTCCCCTCCTTCAATGACGCTTCAGGCTAGAAAAGACATTGCTGGATGAACGAGCCGCGTTGGATCAGCAACGACTTCGTTTGATGAACGAAGTGGCGGAGGAACGAGACAGACTCAATTTGACGTGTGCCCGTGAGCGTGAAGAGATTGAACGCGGTCGTCAAAATCTGGAATCTCGATTGGAGCAGTTGACAGCCAAATACGAACGGGAACTGGTTCAGCAACGACTCGAGATGACCAAAAGACATGAGGTATAAGGGTCGGTTAGCCTAGATATCCGTTTAACTATACGATTTCTATTTTCCGGAGGGCATTTGTTCCCAACCAAGAATACGAATCTTTTTTTACACTAGAATGCCACCCTGGATCCATTCAACAGGATAGCATTATGCAGTAATTGAAAGCCTCTTATACTCGAATAGCCAAAAGCTTGGGTTATGCAATTGATTCAGCTTTGATACGAGTATGTGTGCAGGCCATCATTGGAAGTGGTATGATATCCATAATCAGATTGGATCCAATCACAAAGTATTTTATATTAGATTATTCACAAGGATCTCAGAGATAATTCCTGTTGTCAAGGGAG